AGATAATTAAACTAAATGAACCTTGTTATAATGAGTGAGAATTCACAAAGGTGGTTTCGTAGTCGAGCCTAATCACACTCACAAAGAAGGTATGACGGACGAACACACACATTGATCGCAATGGAAATAAGCTAAACATTTTATTTAATGCCTTTGAGTAAAAGGTATAGACGAGTTAGTTGTCCAGACTTGGGCGAGGTTTGAAATATTATATGACTGATGTCTCGAGGACTGTGTCTGCCTGACTGTTTCACCCTAAGCAATTGACACCAGGCCAACTAGAATCTGAGGTCACCTTTTCAGAGGCTTAGAATCTACGAAACTTTTACCATGCAATTTCACACAAAAATGAAAGCAGCCCAATAGTGATTTATCGAGGGAATTATCGAGACAGCTTTTATTTACTTTTTCTCAATGGTGGTGTAAACCTCAGTTCCCCTAAAGTGGTATGTCTAACTGATCGTTCCCGTATGTGCGCAGGGAGAGGAACATCAATTCAGAAGAGATGCTTGCTCAGTTCCGATACAAGTAGGCAAAATTGTCTGTTGAATATGCACTATTTTCGTTTATAAAGAGGTTTCGAGACTATCGATAGATTTTGTTAAGTTGATGAAAGAATGATAGTTGAAGTTTCCCATGCTATTATGAATGGGCCTCACATTTCCCTTACATTTCACATAGCCTTGCTTCGCAAAAGGTATTCTCTTGGCAGGGCAATGTGAATTCACTGGAAGCGTGAGGTCTATTCATGTCGATATGTAAAAATTGAGTCACTCTACCTTCGTCACCTTAACCGAAATAGGCTGAATGCATAGCATACGAGTGAATTATTGTCGGAATTGTGGCCTTTTAGGCCAGATACCAAAACGCTATTTATGATAGTCAGTCACGTGGCCCACCGATATGGGGAGCAGCAGTTTCGTGTTGTGTTGTGTTCGAGCCAAAGCTCACAGCACTGATCAACCCTGCTCCGGACATGACAAGTGGAGTGCAAGTGATGCCGGTTGGCAATGCCCTCAGGCAGATGGTCAGGAGGGCTAGTGTGCTAGAAATGTCAATGTGCTCCTGGCGCCTCTGAGGCTGCTTGCTGGGCACACAGATTTTGTGGACGCCCACGCGATGCAAACGAGTGGTCGTGTTCTTTTAAAGTGGATCCTTGAGCACGACTCAACTGCAAAATTTGCATATATTCATATTAAATAGGTTTACAAACTACCAGTTAATCTTGAATAAGAAGTGTACACAACCTAGGCCCCAAAACTGATGAAAGACAGATAGTTGAATTGTCCAACAATTATATATGGGTAGGCTTCACATTCCCATCGAATTTCATACACCCCTAACTCCCTAAGGGTATTCCCATCCAGGATCTCATCACCAACCCCGGACGGGACTCGAACCAGGAAATGTGCAATCTCGACATGTTACCACTACTCCCCACTGCAACTGGGAACTTGTTGGACTTAAACATTGCACTATCCTGGTTCGAGTCCCGCTGGGGTTGCTGATAAGATCGAGTCCATCCGGGGTGATAATACCCTGGGAGCCTACTCAGATATTATTGTGAAGAAGTTAAACTATCATATCTTAAACTTTCTCATTTTATGCGGCATGGGGTGAATATAAGTCTTATTCAAAATGTTCACGCGCCAAGACTCGAGATGCCAGTTTGAGCTCCGCCTCCGCCTGCCCGGACTTGGGGCCGAGTCCGTCTAACTCCCGAAGTCAAAAATGCAGAACAAAGTTGTAAAAGGAGATAACTTTCATGTTGGTAGTGCAAGCTTGTATGGACAGGAGAGATCAGGAGAATCTGCATCATGCACAAAATAGGGACAAATTGGAGGAGGAGGCACAACATGCTGGGGTTGGGGTGGTTTGAGGGCCATGAGAGGGCTGCGAACAACCCGGTGGAAACTAATCCTTTCCTCCGGACGGCGTGTAGACGACGAAGGGCAAAAGTTCACTGCTCAGAGGATGTTGGAACCCCGGCGAGACTGTACCACACGCCAAGTAGATAGCCGCATTTATCACACAGAGAAAACGGGTTTCGGATGGGGACACTTGAGTTGAAGCACAAATCTCGGCAAGCAGCTGTGTAGCAACGTTTTCTGATGCAACAGTCGGTACATCGGATTACTGCTCTGGAGAAGCAGATGAGGCAACTTTACACGGGTCGATGTACACAGACTGGCTAGCAGTTGCTAAGGCTGCCAATTTGCTCTCTTCTGCAAAATATACTTTACAAATTGTCATTCCATGAAATGCCTACAGGATCACTACTATACACGTGAGCACAGGGTGTTGTTCTCGCCTCAGTGCGACCGAGTGCTTGTCGTCGGAGCGAAAATAGGAGGCAACCAACTGGTCTTTATACAGTGAGACGGAGACAAGCATACAGAGATGTACAAATTCAGGCGTATGTGCATGTTGGCGTGTTGGCGGTGTGTCAAGCCCGAGTGTTAAAATCGTAAGAAGTACTCTTTTACAAAGGAACACCGATGGATGTGCTGGTGCAGGTAAAGACGATTGTATACGAGTAGATAGGACGACTGTACATGGTGATGGTGAAGATGAGTGGAGCTGGGCATTTCGGCTTAAGCCTGTGAGGCCTGTGGGCCCAGTTCTGCTTTTCTCAGACTTAAGTTAGCTATGGCTGGGGGGATCTGTCTTGCTAGTGCGTCTAACGAAAGACATGGACGTGGAGGGAATTTGGGCAAAATAATGTATTACATATATTTAATTGGTTAATTATTAGTAGTAGTATTCATTTATACATATGTTCAGGCTATGCCTGGGGCAGGCTGTGTGCCTGCGTGTGTGCGGAGATGAGTTGTTTCTGTGACTAGGATCAGTGGTACAATTGCATGGCAACGTACTCGCCACGGCTGGCCGACAGGTACGAGGCGACTGTGGCGGCCGCCTGTTGTTGTTGATGATTGTGGGGCGGGTGGAGGAGCTGGTGTGGGTGATGGAGGCTTTGGTGGAGATGGTGGGGCTGGATTGTGGGCTGTAGGTGGGGTTGGAGGGAGTGTGCGAGAAAGAGGGACTGCTGCTGTTGCAGAAGTTGGGCGGGGTCCTGTTGCGATTGGTGGGACTGGTGAGTGTGAAGATGAGGCGGATGCTGGGGATTAGTTTGCTGCTGCTGTTCCGATCGTTGCGCCAAAGGGCCGGTGGTCGAATGGTTCATCGACAACTGGTAGGCCAGTTGGCCTGAGTGTGATCCGTTCTGTCGGCTGTCCCGAGCCGGAGAGGCGGGATTTGTAGCTCGGGGTTCCAAAACTGCAGTGACCTCACGATTGACCCCATCCTCCTCGTCCTCCTCCTCCTCCTCTTCGTCTTCCTCCTCCTCCTCCTCCTCCTCTTCCTCCTCCTCATCTTCCTCTCCCTCGTCGTCGTCGTCATCTTCCTCCTCGTCCACCTCTACCGCAGAATCTGCGGGCCTTTCACGCGCCGAGTAGACCCGAGTATAGGCGCCTCTTTGTCCGAAGTCCATGCGCACCGGTTGCCTAGGCTGCGTCTGGACCCCGTCGGGGCTACATGTGCCCGGAGGCACGCTGGTCGGCGTGAGGAAGGACCCGCCAATCTTCTCGTCGCCGCCCCGTTGGCCAACTGGACGACCGCGGTCGTTGTCCTCCTCCTCGTCGTCGTCGTCGACATCGTCGTCGTCGTCATCACCGTCGTCGTCATGCATCGTGTTACAAGGTACCGAAAACCTGGCCTTTGTGGTCTCCTCTCCACCGGCTGAGCGGCCGCTGGAGGCTGGCAACGAGGCTTTGTTGTTGACGATGTTGTTTGTGGACTGCGTAGCCGAGGCAGTGGAAGAAGGGTAGGCCACCGACTCTGTAGGGGCATGGAGTTGAGGCTGAAGATGGTGATGTTGATTGGGATTATGGTTGGGGTGGTGATGCGATAGCTGGGAGAGGTGTGGATGCTGAACGCCCGGAGGCAGTGGAGGGGCATTCGGGTGTAGAGCATGATGGGGGTGGTGTGAAATTGGGTGTGGGTGCGGATGGGGATGTGGATGTGGATGTGGATGTGGATGTGGATGTGGATGTGGATGTGGATGGGGAAGTGGAAGTGGGTGTGAAAGTGAATGTGAAAGTGGATGTGGATGTGGGTGAGTGGTGTGTAGGTGCTGCGTCATGTGGTGCAGTTGGTGCCCGGTCAAGGAGATGTTGTATGGGTCAGGAGGGTGCGAGCCGTTGGCAGCGTAAAAAGCGGCAGAGGTTGGGAAACCGGTTGGACTGCAGTTGTGGCCAGTGTTGGGACAGAACAATGGCGACTGCATAGCCAACGGAGTCAGGCCGGCGGGGAGGATGGAACGGGTCGTGGAGACGTCGAAGCCGCCGGCCAGCGAGTAGAGATTGCCGGGCAGCAAACTGGGCGCCATGGGCGTCTGCCGGGCGTGGTAGACACTTGAGGCGAGGCTGATCGGCGTCGACGAGGGCGTGGGTGTCGGTGTCGACGTCGGTGTCGGTGTCGGTGTTGACGTCGCCGTCGCCGTCGACGTCGCCGTTGACACGACAATGTTGCCAGAGGTCGAGGAGACGGCAGACGTCTCACCGGCAGAGTAGACGTTGCGTTGCCTGGTGACGGGAGAGCCGATTTCGTCGTCCGAGAAGCCGGCATTTCCGGCCGCCTCGAGACGGGGCGAGGGTAGCAGCTCGGCCGAGGTACCGGTCGGTCCGGACACAGAGTTGGCCAGCAGCCCCGGGGGGCTGAGATAGGCGGCTGCGGCGGCAGCGGCGGCAGCGGCGGCCACGGCAGAATTCATCACACCCGCAGCCGGGCCCGAGTGGGACGTGAGGAAGACTCCGGCCGAGGTGGGATAGCCATTGGTCGAGGTGGGGAGGGGTGGGGAGGCGAGCTGTAGGCCGCCGGGGAGCACGTGTGAATCGGCTTGGCCGGCGGGAATTCCGAGACTCCCATCGCTCGGCAGAGCTGCGCCTGTCGAGCAGAGGAAACTGTCCTCCAGACCTGACGACACTCGGACCCCTTCGCCGGTCAGGCCGTTGTAGCCCACGGCCCCCGAGGGTGTCAGGTAGCCCGACATGTAGGCGGGGACTCCGGGGAAACTGTGACTATGGTAGCCGAAATTGTGTCCAGATGCAGCGGCAGCAGCTGCAGCTGCAGCCACCGACAGCCGATTTAGAGTTGGCTTGATCAGGTACTCCATACTGTTGCCCATTTCACCGAACTCGGACCGCATTTCAGCGGACTTGCACTTTTTCGTCTTCTGGGACACTTTGCGGTTGCGTGTTTGGATGCCATCTTTCTTCATGGAGATGGGCCTCTGAACCTGAAGCGAGGCAAGCATGCATAAGGGAGTAACCAGCATATAGTGGCTTAGATTGGATTGGATTTTCGGGTATATGCCTTTTTTTTAATGAAACAGACCTAACAGTAAGTAGATCTATAGAAGGTGATTTCCCAAAGGTATTTGAAAATGATGTACATTTCGAAGAATCCCTTTAGTTACATTTCTAAGGTAAAGTTAGTTGACATTTTTCATGAATTGTAGATACGAATGGTAACATAGTTTCGATAAATCTCCTGCGATAACATTGTTGGGATGGCTTTCAATTCATAAAGAAGAGATTCAATAAGTCGATCTGACCAGAAAACGACGACTGACTCGCGTTGTACCACAGCTGATTGATGCTAGCGCATACACGCACGTTAGAGTAAAAGTAGTATAACAAATAGGAAAGACAATCTGTGTTTCGCTCATAGGTAGCTTATCTAGGCTACAAGTGGGTCATTTGTATATGAAGTGTATCCATCCTATTTCGTTTAAGATAACAAGCCGACTGGTAGCTGAATATTTCACACGATCATATGAGTAGACTTTCTTTTCCCAAAAGATATTCTCATCCAAGATGGACTGCAGTTTCGATCCCACCCAGCTCTCAATAGCACCTCCAGTGGGACTCGAACCGTAACCGAAAAAACGTAGAGCCTTGACGCGTGATCCACTACGCCAGATTTCCACCAGTTTCCTTGAGTCAGAGGGCAGATGTGAATTTCAAGGAAGAACATGCATTTTCCCATATCGCATTCTGTCGTGGGATTGTCGATAAAGAAAAGTTGTATTTGCTATAGCACTTATTTTTCGTTTTATAAGTAGGTTTTTGTTATGGGAAACTGGCTTGCTTTCCTCAAACTTAACATCTGCCCTGTGATCCAAGGGCTTTCGTTCCAATGAGGCTTAGTCGTTGACGCATCGAGCTTATACGCTGGACTGTCATGGTTCGAGTCCCGCTGTGGGTGTTGGGACGATCTAGGCGAGGTTGAAACTGCCGTCCAACCAGGAAGATCATACATTTTGGGCAAGCAAGGCTATGTGAAATTTAATGGAAATGATTGTGGGATAAATTCAACTACTAGTCCCCGTATATCCCTAAACCAGATAGGATGAATGCACTTTATGTATCCATCTATATACGTCTATACATTAGAGCTGGATAGTCTTCCTGACCTCGTGTTAACGTTGGACTTCACAAGAATGGATTTCAGCTCTGATGATGGACGAAAGTTCACCCAGTTGTCAACGGAAACAAGGGATGATGTCTTGTGGTCCGCGTCAACCGGAACGTCGTATTTATGCCAAACAGATGCAGTACAACTGAAATGGGCCGTCGTCTTCTGGCCAGATCAACCGATGAGTCTCTTCTTCGTGCACTTTTACACGAAATGAAAGTCTCAACCAACAATGCTGTATCAGGAGACTCATCGAAACTCACATTTCCTCCACGTCACCACGAAAAGTAGTCTTTTTTCGTTCGGGATAGACGGCCTTGCAACCCAACAACCTGGTACTTGGTGTTTTGTTCGAGCCCATGATCATGCCAATGTGGCCTTAGTGTCTGCCTGTTGGGCCAGCTTCAGGCCCCCAGGTGCACGTCCAGACAGACCCCAAACGCACACTTTTATCGGCCCAACCGTCAGTCCGATCAACGTGAGCGGACTGGCAGGGCCTTTGAAGGACATGCTAAAGGGAGGCAAAACACCGACCCCCGAGGAGCGAAATCCCCCTCGACTTGTCACGGACGCCTACAAGATGGGCCTCAAGCCGGCGCCGACATGTGCAGCTGTACCTCTTGCGCTTTGATGTGGGCGATCACGGTCGGATTAATGGCGCCGTCTAGTTGGAGTGCGGCTCGAATTGGGCCGAGGGGCCGATTGGGCCGAAGGGGAGACGGAGCCGGGCAGACAGACGGTCGAATAGGCGACAGTCTGGACACGGACGCATTTCGCCCGGCAAAGAGACAACTTTGACTATCCCATGCGCGCCTATGGGCAAGCCGGAAGACGAGGGGATCGCATCGCTTGTGCGGGTGAGCCGGCCAGAGGGCCCTCGGAGGCGGAGCAGTTGAGCAGGGTTGAGCAGGTTGAGCAGCCGGAACGGGCCGAGCAGCTTTGAGGTACCACTGGCGATTCGCCTCGCCCGATTGGCCGGGAGATAAGACAGGCTTGTCTCGCATTGGCCAACCTCGGCCGGGCCAGACATGAGGGATCGCTGTGGGCCGGCATGCCGGACCGATAAGCCCGCAGGCGTACGAGAGCGGACAGAATTTGCGGGTTCTGCGCGCAGGCGAGTCGAGGCGAGAAAACTGACTGACAGTCGTTGAGACTCACCTCGCGTGAACTCATACTCAACGACCAAACCAAACGCCAGCACACCAGACCATGGCTCGTCTGCAAACCGACTCGGCACAGATTTAGACGAAGCAAAAATCCCGAGATATTGAGGTTCGTTTCGAGTCCCGTTCCCACGGCAACGGTGGATGGGGCGAGTCAGAATTCGGCTTGACCGGAGGCCGAATAAGGATGAGCATGTTCGTTGATCGCTTCGTGTTTGAGGCATTTTGTCGAAGATTCACGTGGAACTCGCTTTCCCAACTTACTTGTCTTCTTCAAGCCGCCTCGAGAATCGAAATATGTACTGCCTTGTCTCGACTGGGGAGACTTTCATTTCGTATGAAAGTGCATTAAGACGAGATGTGAAGGTCGATCTAACCAGAAAATGACGGCTGATTCCCACTGTACTGCAATCGTTTGGCTTTAATACGACGTTCAGGTTGATGCAGTTCTCGAGGCATCCTCACTTCTTTGGAAGGAAAACGAGACTGGCTGGTATTGCGTATAAATATTAATTCACATACAAATAGAAGTACCTTGACCAATATAAAGACAATTATCTAAATTCTTCCATAACTCTCTATGCTTAAACATTTTTCGTTTTTCAATCATGAGCATAAATAAAAAGTAGGCTAGAGCTGGATATATGAAGACCAAGATGTTGTGGCCTCTGGTGTGGTCGCAGTCTCCTTTCGATTGATAGAAGTGG